TGGTTTTGTAAGATCTTCATTTTGTTCGATTTTTGGTGAATTATATTAAATAAAAAAATAAGAAATATTAACAAACAGGTAGGGTCAGTTTGAGTCAAAAACATCATCATAATTATTCATTACACTAATAATATATTGAACCTACGACAATTTAGAAACTATTCACTGATAATAACATTAATTCACCCCCTCAATTCACTGATAATAAAATTGGGACTTTAATTATATTTTGACCACCAACTCAAATAGAAACGGTCCCCGGTTTCCATTTCAGAAATCCATTACCTTCCTGTAAATATTCCTGTGCATTTGAGTCTTACCTGCAGATGCAGCACTGGCCACAATCAGACATGTAGGTTTAGATGTCATTATAGATGCTCTAGATCACCAAATTGACTGGTTTTCGATGTTTATAGAGACTGAGCATTAACAAACGATAATGGCAATACTAACATCAACAATAACCTACTAAATACACGTACTGAAATGTAATAAATTAATTGAATTTACGATAAAACAGAACTGAGATCATTTGATCAGCTGCTTGTTTTCATGGTCCGTCGGTTGTAAAGTTCCGGGTAAAACAGTCGCTTTTTAAGTAGTTCCTATATGCATATGCACACGTGATATGCACATTTTATATCATAATTATTTTATTATCGACCTTTTTTACAGGAAATCTATAGACACAGCGAATACTTTGAATGTTACTTCCACCTGATGAAAATATATTAATGTTAATGTTTTATTATTAGAACAAATGTTACACCCAAAGCATGTAAAAATTCATGTCTGTCATTTTAAGATTAAACCAATAATAAAGATCACAACCCATTTTAATGCTGAAAGGGTGCTAATAATTATCTAATGTTTAATAATAAATGCCAGACAAATTCTGTATGTCTTTGAAGGCATTTGTGAGAGTATAACTGACAGAAATAAAATGAAACAATTTCACTGATTTATTTGTACTGAAAAAAGTTTGAACACACTGCTTCTAAAAACCTTTGCTTAAAACAAAGCAATTTAAGTTCAATTTCCAGAACGACTGTCCTGCAGCCAAGACATATTGAGCTGTCATCCTGCGTTATTGTGACACATTCATGAAACCAAACAGTAACAGACAGTAATGCAGACAGCAGGAAGGCTTTTTTGGTGTTGGTGTGAATAAGTATCTTCTTTCTCAGTATATTTCTTCTTTCAAACTTTGATACAAGCAGCAGGTAAAAATCATCCCCACAATCTGGAACAGACAGAGAAGGCCGAAGGTTAAAACCTATGAAATGGCAACAAATACAAATAGGAGTGAATATATTTGCTGGAATTATATCGGAGTTATATGGAGTCGCTCACCTGAATGAATGCAATCCCAAGACCCACTGAGCCCAAAATAATCAGATGCTGAAGAATAAACTCCTCTAGTTTGGATATGCAGCCTCCCTGAAAACGAACAAAATGTTTAAAAAAAAAAAGAAAAAATCTTAACAATGTCTCAAAATGTTTAGATTTCCAAAGTATGCAATTAAAAGATCTCAAAATGAATGCAAACATTTCTCATCAAATTCTTCCAAAGCCAAATTATCTGAAATATTTGCCTTTAAACACAAAGGAGAAACATCTGAGACAAAGTTGTTACTATAATAACTGCATAAGCTATAAAAGTGCAATACAATTATGCGTTCAGTCATCTGAACATACCTCCACTTTGTAGATGTTGGATGGGTGGTCTCTGACTCCACAGCCCTGTGTGGGGGTCTTGCAGCAGCTGTCGGGCACCAGGCGTCTGTCGGCAAAGGTATGCATCCAGGCCCCTTCCCTCCAGTCTGCCGAGCTGTTACTGCCACAACACTTCAGCTGCACCGTAAAACAGATGGAGCGCGGGAACAAGAAAAGAGTTCATTCTTGTGACGGGTGGATTGTTTTCCCATGGGCTAGTGGTGTCTGATGGTATGACGCATAAACTCACATGCTCACAGACTGGGAAAGTGTGTTCAAAAGCCTTCTTTGTTATGATATTGTAAGACTTTAAACGTCAAAGCTGTTGAAAAACTGAAACATGCATGCATGATTATAGGTTGAAACTAGGTTGTGGGCTTGACAAAGTCTTGTCTTAAATGTTAGAAGTCACTTGAAAGTGTTAAAAGGTTTCTAAAATGTTCTATACAGTTGTCAGGTAGTTCAAATGATAGAACGATAGATAGAACGACAGATAGATAGATGGATAGATAGATAGATAGATAGATAGATAGATGATAGATAGATAGATAGATAGATAGTGCTGGGTAGATTACTTCCAAATTGTAGTCTGTTACTGATTCCAAACTACATGACAAAAATTGTAGTTAGTAACGTAATCCATTAGATTACACAGTTTAGGTAATATAATCGGACTACTTTTTGATTACTTTTAGATTACTTGTGACCTAACTCGTTTATCACATTGATTTAAATAGGATAATATTGTACCATATTGATATAAAAATACAAAGAGAATGAAAATATATTCCATTCGCTGTTATTAACAACATGAAGTGCATTAAACATTACATTATGTCAAGGTTTTTTAATCTGGGGTTCGTAAAGGAACTGCGGGGGGTTTGTAAGTTTAATGAAAAGCTAATAATTAATTAAAACATAAAAATTTTAATAATTTTACAATAACAACAATCAAAAATAAACGACTAACTAAACTAACTACTAAAAAAGATGAAATATTTTATGTTTAGTTTACCTGCAAGTCATGTGGCCATTGACCAATGTCAGAGAGCCGTGAACATGCAAATGTGTTATTAACTTATAACCTTAAAATCTCAGGAGGTATTTCGAGTAAATATATTAAAAGAAAGAGGCTTCGCTGAAAACAAATTTCGGGAATCCCTGCATTACACGTAAATAAAAATACAGATAACACAGATTACATGTAATCAGTTACTACCCAGCACTGTAAATAGATAGACAGACAGACAGACAGACAGACAGACAGATAGATAGATAGATAGATAGATAGATGTCTTACGTCTTGCTGGAGGTTGTCGATGGCTCTAGTGATGTGCTCTTGTCCAGGCTGCTGGTAGTTTTGCACCATCCTCTCTTTCAGATCGGCTCTCAGCTCAGCGTTCAGCTGCAATCACAGATAAATCCATCAGAATACAGATACAGATCTATAACTATAAATCATTCTCTATATTTAGCAAGTGCTCTAAAAGCCTGTTTTCATTCACAGATACAAAGTAAAACCTCATATATTAAAGGAACCATTCAAAATGATAATTCCGTCATTAATTACTCACCCTCATGTCATTCCAAACATGATGTTATTTTTTTCCTTGGAACACGGAAGAATGTTCATGTAACCTTCAGTGTGCCACGGAAAAAATAACAGCATACTGGTTTGGAATGACATGAGAATGAGTAAATAATGACAGTGTTTTTATTTTTGAATGAACTGTTTCTTTTGAGGTAAAAATCAATCTATAAATGTGCAACTTTAGTTAGATTATTTTATTTTGCCTATGTAGTTGTTTACCTGGTAGCAGAGAGGAAAATACTGAAGGAAAAGGAGGAAGAGGACAAAGGGTTTTATAAAGATGGAAAAGCAGGAAAGTGGATGGAAAGCATGCAAACATAACACTCGACATGTGTATGTGGGATTAACATCAATATGAGGAGATTACAGTTAAATTAGGATAATCTGATGTTTTATTACATTTCTGTGATATTCATGGCAATATTGCAACCATGTTTATCAAGTTGTTATTCCCATGCATACATAAAGATGTTGAAAAAAAACTGAAAAAAGAGGGTACAGTAACATTTAACAGGATAAGAGAGAATTCATCCAAATTAAACAAATAGAAATGTAGCGTTTATTCCTCATCTTGAATGTGAGTTTACCTCCTGATAATAGACGTAAGCCAGAACTCCAGCTGTGATCTCCAGAAGGAAGATTAACAACAACAGCACAAAGAACTATAGAGACAAAAAAGGAAAACATTTTCATCAATACACATATTTTGACACCAGGTTTGAGGGTCAGTAAATATTGACAATTTCATTTTTGTATGACTGTTCTTTATAGGGATAGTTCATCCAAAAATGAAAATGCTGTCTTCGTTTACTCACTCTCATGTCGTTCCAAACCCGTAAGACTTTTGTTCATCTTCAGAACACAAATGAAGATATTTTGAATGAAATCTGTGAGATTTCTATCCCTCCATTGACAGTCTATGCAACCACAGCTCTGATGCTTCAAAACAATCATAAAGAGATCGTAAAACTAATCCATATGAATTTAGCGGTTTCATATTTCATTACAAATGTGTTCATTTGTGTTCCTAAGATGAACGAAAGACTTACAGGCTTGAAACGACATGAGGGTGAGCCAATGACAACAGAATTTTTATTTTTGAAGTAAAAAATGAATATACTAAAATGTATTTGAAATACATTTGTTTCATGCTAAATATACTACAAATACATTCACACATACATTCTCGCTTTAAGAAGCTTCTCTCTGATGTTCATCAGCTGTTGGAAATGTGAACAAATGTCATCGGAGGAATTTTATGCAGCTGATAAAGGTTAAAAGCATTATTATTCTTCTCTCAGCCTGTATTTGTTCTGTATTTTCCCTCTGTTTTCTGTGCCCACCACTCTCCTTTCATTCCTCTATTCTGGATTCACTCCCTACTCATTCCTCTATACTCCCTCTCTCTCTCTCTCTCTCCGCTGGCCATCATTCCTCAGTTATGACTCAGTTTCTAAGTTTGACCTCTTAAAGATACACACATCTTTATTTAAATCAGATATGTTGACAGCTTTGAGACAACTAAGAGACACACATATGAGCACCATTAAACTGATTTAGAAAGCACAAAAAAGTCACGTTAATGTGACCGCATGTTCCCAGAATAATCCCTGGCTTCTGTGTGCAGGAATCCAGTGTTTACACTGTCCACTTTGTCCATTACTCATAATATTTCACTCAAAGGTCTGGCAGAGGTTTCTACCTCTATATCTTTTACAGGCTGCTCTGAGAATATTCATCAGAAACATTTACGGGGCTAAAACCACTTTAAGACACTCAGAACACCCTTGCAACCACATAATAATGCTTTGAACACACTTAAAACACACTAGCAACCTCATAGCAACACTCAGAAGACTGTAGTAACTGCACAGCTATACCCTGGTAACCACCCATAACATCATGGCAACACTTTAAAAACACTTAGAACACCTTAACAACTGCACAGCTACACCTTTGCAACCACCCACAACACCCTAGCAACCACATGACAACACTTTTTAAAAAAAGCTCGGAACACCCTAGCAACCACATTGCAATATTTAAAAAAAAAACATAACACCCGAGCAACCACATACCTCTTTAAAACACCCAGACCACCCTTGCAACCACATACCAGACTCTTTAAAACAACCAAAACACCCTAGCAACCACATTGAAATACTTTAAAAACATGCAGAACACCCTAGCAACCACATTGCAATACTTTAAAAACACTCAGAACACCCAAGCAACCACATACCAGACTCTTTAAAACACCCTGAA